CATAAGTCTGGGGGTCGCAACCGCCACCCCGGCTATTACGTCGGCCAGCTCAGGCAGGGCTGTTGATACATAGCAGGGAGCCAGGTATATAATCAACAGACCCACTTGAACCCCTTGCCCCCATTTCACCAGGAGGGACTCCACACCGTCTATCTGAGGCACAGTGGTCTCCCTCGGACAAAGGCTCTCCCTTATAATGGAAGGAAGGAAATCAGGTCATCAAAGTTTTGGAATGTGTTAATCACACCTGGATCCTAGCTTTCCTCCAAGAAAGATAGCAAATACGCACAAAGTCTTTTATTTTATCCTCTTGTGAGGTCAGGTAAGGCTGGGCTAAGTTAGTAGTGCTGCAATAACATAGCAGGCATAATCAATTCAGTTAAAGACCCAATGGCTTGCATTTGCCCAATTTATTAATGTTATGCAGCTTACCTTTGTGAAGTGAGTCTTTTTATTTAGGAACAAACTAATTCAATTGAGATTAAGAGTGTTATGTGAATGAAACCAATGCCGGTCTAAATTGTGTTGGGTTTTTTGGCAGCTGCAGCACATTGCTGGCTCATATTTAAATGATTGTCCACTAGAACTCCAAGATCCCTCTCTTGGAGTTAGGAGGGAAGTTAGGAAGGGCAGTTTGCTATCTCATTTCTAAAGTGTGATCCCAGGAACTTTTGGAGCAACAAATGTTACAGAAAGCTGGGCTCAGAAAGAGTTTGACACAATTAAATCTAAAATCATGAATCAAACACAAAATGTCTGGATCATATTTGGGATAGTAGGTCAAACAAACTGCCACATGTAGTGGGGTTTCTGCTCTACTAAGATGGTAAATGCTTTGCATATCCAAAGGGAAATCCCCATAAGGTATGTTGAACATTCCCAATGTAACTCATGGTTTTACCCCATTCATATATTCTTTAATCTTTTCCTTTAAAAAAGCTTTTTTAGTATGAAAAAGAGTAGAGCCATAAAGTGATGTCTAGCACATTTCAGTAAAATAAGATCAGTTCAAGAGAGCATACCACTAGTTAGAACAGGGGTGTTAAACTGCCGGCCCATGGGCTGGATGCATCATAGCGAAACCGTGCCCACCCCATTGCCGGCAATGGCAAAAAAGTTGCGATACGTTGCGACGTTGCAAGTTTGACACCCCTGAGTTAGAAGAATCATTTTAATGTACCCTTGCTTAATAAAATTTTATATTTGTGATCAGTGAGATGGATGGATGGATAGATAAGAAAATTCTATATGATACAGTGGTATTTAAAATATATTGAACTGCATGCAATCCTGGTTTCGGAAGCAGGAATGTGTGTTAGAATGTAATTTGATAAAACTGAAGTTTGAATTAGCTATTGCTAATTGCTGTATCCGATACACCAATGTTCTTGTTTTTATACTTTTGTTTGGAAGTCTGAGAAATTCTACACAATTCACCTGTTGCCAGTTTACATGTCTGATTTTAGTCCAACAAAATATCATCTTGCCTATATCATATCTGTGCCCTGTAAGAGCAATGCCACTGTGCCCTGTAAGAGCAATGTATATTTAAACTGCTTGTGGAATCCAATTCAAAATACCTGGATTTGAGGAACAGACTTGACAAGCATAGGCAGGTACATTTTGATTTAAATATAGAAGTAGTATATGAGCGAATATCCACCTCAAGTGCAGTAAGACATCTCAAGTATCAATAAGCCTCCTTGTTATATATGTGTGTGATCTTCAGTGGCATGATGGCCACCAGAGAGGCTGACAACCGCTTCCTTGCCAGGTTGCTCAGAAATGCCCAAGACCCCATAGCAAGAAGATATTATAAGTGATGCTGGAGATATCACACGCAAGAGCCATTGCCTTCCCAAGCATGAGAGATACAAATAGCTGCCAGGTAATAAGTCTTGTAATTTACCAAACATTTAATATATTCAATTGATTAAAAACAGTTTTAAAAATTTCCAAGAGAGCAGTGGCTAAGGGTAGGGGGAAATAAAATTCTTCTATGTAAGTTGGAGTTCTTATTCTTATCTTAAGTATCTTAAATGGCCTAACTCAACTTATACTCTGCAATGCTGTGCAGTCTCCCTGCCTCCTGATCTTTAGTATTCATGGGGAGACCCTCACCAATATCCTCCTTTTTTATATTAAACAAGTGCAAGAGAGACAGAGAGTTTGGCTATAACTCAGAGACCATTCGTTCTAATCCTGGCTAAGGTACACAAGGCACACAAATCAACAGTGACTTTGGGCCAGTCACTCCTATTCCTCTTAGGAAGGAGGCAATGGCAAACCACTTCCATTTTTTTTTTGCCAAGGAAACTGCTGATTTAAAAGCACACACAAAAGTTCAAAAATAATAACATGCATTTAAAGAATATCCGCAGTACCATAAAGAATGGGAGAGAAAAACTGGGAAATTCCTTTTGCATAAGAAAACTGTTTGAGAAATTGGATTTCGTCCTGAGATCAGCTACATGTTACACTCAGATGAGTTTCCATGTCTCCCTGCAGGCACTTCCCAAATCATGTAGACTAGTAGTGAACCATAGCAATGTTACATCCTATATCAGTGGTGGCAAACCTATGGCACGCATGCCAGAGGCGGCACTCAGAACCCTCTCTGTGGGCATGCGCGCCATGCCCCAGAGATGGCAACTGTCCCTCTTCAACCAGCTGCCCCCTAACTTGCCGAGGTCCCACATGGCCGGATGCATCCAAGCACGGCTGGTTTCCCTCCCCCCATTCCATCCCTCCTGGCCTTGCATGCTCTCCTTTTCCTGGGCACAACCCACTGCATTGCCTCCTCAGCTGTCGGCCAGCCATCCAACTCAGAGGCAGCTTCTCTGAACTGCTGGTGGTGGGCTGTGGAGCCCCAGAGTGCACTGGTCGAGGGGCCGGCAGGGTGTGGCTGCTGACAGACACTGTTGGCCCCCATGCGCTCGCTGGCCTCTGTGTGCGGGGGCCGATGGTGTCAGGCAGCAGCTGCCCCGGCCTCGCCTTGCCCTGCAACAATTGCACCCCTGCCCTGCCTTGCCTCACCCCGCAGGACGAGCCTCCTGCCCACCGCCCCACCTGCCAGAGACACTGCATAACTGCTATACACAGCTCTGCAGCTGTAAATTTAATCAATTATGCTTACATCTAATTGCCTCAATCTATACTATACAGGTTATTTATTTTTCATGAGCTGAAATGCCACCTTTAGCTTTTTGTTAGAATAGGTAGCCTTAAAATCTATTAAGTACATAAGCCAGGGGTCTTCAAACTTGGCCCTTTTATGACTTGAGGACTTCAATTCCCAGAATTCCTCGGCCAGTTGAAGTCCACAAGTCATAAAAGGGTCAAGTTTGAAGACCCCTAACATAAGCAATCAAAAGATCTGATAAAGATTATGATCATTTAAACTTAAGCCTGATGAAGGAAAAGGAAGATGGATCTCTGGTCCTGCTAGATCACTTTATTTCATCTTTGACTTCCTTCTACTAATCTCTCCCACTTCAACTTGCTCACTACATGCAAGAACAAAGAACACCCATTTGTTACTGACACTATAGTAAGTGTTATAAATGTTATAATTTTTCTGGTTCACCTCCTTCAGTATAAACATTTAGTCTTGCACTTTCAGTATATTCAATATAGTTAATAAGCTTGTTAGCAACTTGCTACACATTAGTATATGTGCTTGATTCTCCTACTCCCTTCTTCCAACTGGCCTCTGAAAGACCCCTTACTGAACTCTGGAGAGTTGAGTTTTTATCAAGTTTTAGTTGGAAATGACGAGAACTTGAATCCAACACACGTACAGCGTGCTGGATTGCGTAGACTGGTACAGTTAGTACTAAACTAATTGGACCCATGCTAATAACAGCAGTGATTCAGTGATTCTGTTCTTCGTTGTTCATAGAGGGCCTGTCTTTTGGGGATGCCACTTGCTGGATGACAGAGCCGGGGAACTGAAGTTTAAGGCTATCAAAACTCTGCTGGTTCAGACAAAACAGTCTCTAGTCTGGAACTCCACAGAGGCCTACCAAAGAACAGGTGAATAAGATCTGGGTATGTAGGTTTGGTTCCCCACTCCATCCCAACTGTGACAAGTAGGTGAAGGCTAGCCCGGACACCCACCACTCGTAAAATCCTGCAGACAAATATATATACAACAAGATCAATAGCTGTTGATCAAATATTAATTGTTCAAAGACACCTCCCCCCCAATTGCAGAATGATAAACTTATTTCAAGCAGTGGGAAGTTCCATTCTTTTCTCCCTTCTTCTGACTAGAAGTTCCTACCTCCTCCGTTTCTCGAAATAAGGCAAATTCTTGTAATAAGGAGGGGAAGGGAAAGGAAAGGAAGGGAAAGGGAAAATGTGGGGCGTGCGGCGCGATCCATAATTTTATGCACCGCTTTTATCTCCTTCTGGGGTTTTCGTCTCTCTGCTACCCGAATTTTTTTTTAAAAAAATAAAAATAAAGCGCCTTTCCTTCCGAAGAAACCGCGCTAGCACGCCAGTCCTTTCGAGGTGCCGTCGCTGCCCTTCGATCCCCGCCGCTGCCCGCGTGCGAGTGAGCCAGCGAGGTCCGGCGCGTCCACACGACAGCGATGAAAGAATTCCTGCCAGGCCAACGCTTGAAAAGACCCGGGCTGGAACTTGTGATCTGAAGAGCGCGATTCAAAGGCAACGTCTGAATCGCGGAGGAAAGTTTCTCGGAGGCGCGTCTGTCCAACTTTTCTATCCCCTCCTCCCCGCCCCCCCCCCGCCCAATCCCAACCCCGCGCCCCATCGGGCTTCGGTTTACCTGCAGAGTTTCCTCGGACGAGGAACTTCGTTGCAAAGGGCTTCCCGCAGCGGGGATCCCCTGAGACATCCCGGCCGAAGAGAAAGAGGAGGTCGGTCGGACGGCCGGTCAGGAGGCCAAAAGACCCTTAAAGTCCCGGAGAAAACAGCGTAGCCGCAGCAAGCGCCGGGGACGCGCATGGGGGACTCGCTGCACCCGCTGCCGCCTAAGCGGAAAGCCCAAAGAGGGGCATCCCGGAGGCGCGTGCTGCCCTCGGCGCTTCCCCGGCACCTGACCGCCCCCGCCGCCGCCGCCGCCGCGCCTGCTTCCCCAGCTGCTCTTCTCTCCAGCCAGCGCTCGGCGGCCGGGAAAACCAGGAGCCGTTCTGTTTTTCGCCCTGCCCGGCGCCGCCGATCTGCTCAACTCCAGTTCATGGAAATCACGTGGCGGCCCTTGAAACTTCAGGAGGGAACTGGCTGCGAGACCGGGAGGCGGCCTTCTCCGATAGGGAACTGAAAAGAAAGGGGCTTTTCCCTCCTTCCGTCCCGCTCGCGGGCTGTGGGGTTTCGGGGTGGCTCTAGAGCCGGAATCCGCTCGGCTGACGATCGGGCAAGCCGAAAGCTTCCAGCTGAACGTGGGAGTCCGTTCCTTTTCTCGCCCGTCCTCTGCCCCGTTTAAAAGGGCCGCGCTTGTAGGGGTGTCTGACAGAGAACAGGAGGCGGAAACCGGGAGCAAATCCTGAAAGAGTTGGTAGGAAATCGCCTCCAGCGTTTCCACTGTAAAATAAAGGGGAGCCGTTGTTGTTGCACTTGCGCCTGCAAGTGGCAGCGTGGCTGTGTCGTGCGGTCTGAATCGCACCTTTTCACGAAAAGTCCCACTCAAGGCAGCATAGTCTGCATTTAAAAGAATGGCCCGCGCAAAATAAACTGCGTTATTAAACATTTATCTCAGTTAATAATCTTTAGCTTAAAACCTGAATTGATCCACTTTTATTGTGAGCTTTTGTTTCTGTGGAAAGTTAAACTGTAAATTAAACTTCTAAAATATAAAATGCACCGGGAAGTGGATAATTTTGATTATTGCTTATCTAATTGGGTGTATCTCCTTTCCTTCAGACGCTCAGGATGAAGTCCCTATCTCTCTCTCTCTCTCGCCTTTTCCTCTCAGGATAAAGTTGAGTTGAGAGAGGGTGACTATTCAGCTGTGGAAACCTCGAGCTTTGATCTCTGCAATTTAGTCTATCATTAACCAATACACTGATTTGCATTTTATTAGATGCACAAGCTTGCAGGTGAAATGTCTAATGGACAAAACATGCTTTGAAAGGCATGAAACATGAAAAGATGACACAAAGGCAAAAAGCACACATTATGACTTGCTGCTCAACTAACCTTGGAACCTTCCAAGGTTGCAGAGTTATTAGGCTGCTTGTCAATCAAGCTTAAGAGTTGTTGGATATTGTAGAAGTAGATGAAGGAATTCAAATTCTGTATAGAATATTGCCTTGTGCAGTAAGGCTATTAGACATTTACTTCTGTAATTTATACTGACATGCAACAACTCTGCTGAATTTCGAACAGAAATTTCTCACAACACTAATTTCAGAGACTGAACTGAGGAGCTTTTGCATGCCATGGATATACTGTGAAAAATGTAGTTCAAGTTGAGCTCAACTCCTGATTTCATGGGCCATGTAGTTATTTTGGAAGAAATATGGAAGTGGTTTGTCACTGCCTCCTTCAAAGAAATTTTGACTTTCCAATCCCATCTTACCGACTCATATGCCCGATTCTATCTAGGCTCTGTCCTTCCCAAACCACACTGAGAAAAAAGAACCACTACCACTTAGTTAGTATAACTGAATTTTAAAATGTCACAACTGTTTTGTAAAACACAAAAGGCTTTTGCACTAATCTATAACCTTAAACTAGAAAAGCATGAATATAAAAGACAACTGGTTTTTAAAAGCTAAGCTGCAATGGATTTTGAGAGCAGAAAGGACTATTCTCCATTGTCTTTTGCATATTAGAGATCTATTCGTCATAGATTAGCACTGAGATTGACTTTTATAGGACACTTGATAATCATCGTTCCATATTCTTAATATCAAGTACCTTGGAGAGAACCTGCATATCTCAAAGTTCAACATCATGGACAAATAAAATTTTACTGGTGAATATTGGCAAGAAGCCATTAAAAACTAAATTCAGTTAATAGGATATTGAAGTTTAATTAGAAACCAAATTCTATATTCTATTCACTATTAAATTTCAGTATTTTGTTGTTGTTGTTGAAGCTCTGTATACTATAACTATGAAGGCTATATGCATATAGGAATTAAGCAACCAGTTTTATTATGTATCCATCTGAAAACCTAAGCTATATTAAGAAAATAACCAGACGCCTTCTGATGCAATGCCAGTTTACAGTCAAGTTAAAAATATAAAGTTGAATGTTGTGACATTTCAAGTGAAGAAATATTTTTAAACCTTAAAAAAGGACAGACTTCTTCTAACTCAGCCAAATAGTGGCATAATTAAACAGAATTTCCTTGTATAAGTCATTTAAAAGTGTACTGATTTATCTTTCCTGAGTTTCCAAGATATCCTCATTACCTATCTGCAGTTGGAATTTATAGTGCTCTCTCAATCAGAGGCAACATTAATCATCTCAAAATGATAGATATCCACACACAAACACACACACACATTTCTTTGTTCAAATAGCACTGCCTTGCTTCCTTACTTTCTTCTCCCAGCTTTGAAATCCGTTGTTATACTCTTTACAAAATTTAATATATACTTCAATACTCTTGCTGTTATAAAAACTAAAACAGAAAGTCATCCATCAATGTACAATTAATCTTTTACATTTTTCTGAATCTTACAGTCAAACTGCAATGCTTCAGAGTACAGTCATCTGAAAGTATTTACATAAAAAAAAATCCAACACCATAGCTATAAAAAGAACGTCCTCTGAAATACAATACAGTATATAACCTCATTTTTAGACAATTCAGTGACAATTACTTGCAAGTATGTTTAGGACAGCAGAATGATTGATACAAAGAGAACTTGATTTTAGAACTCAAAACTTTTACTTTTAAGGTAGGCTAACTATTGTAACACATAAATCATAAAAGATCATTCCTAGATTTAAACAGCTAAATTTAATTTTTATTTAAAGAAAACAGCATGCTTATTGCTTTACAAATAGAAAATTGCCTTTCAGAATTGTAAGCTAATAGAAGATTCAGATTTTAAAATTAATGCACATAGTAGGGAAGTCCATCAGTTAAGAAATAATAGTGAGTCACAGTTTCATTTTCAAATAATCTGAATATTTAGGAGAATTAACTAATTCCATTAATAGTAGTTTTATTATTGCCTCCTAATTTCAGGAAAATTAGCAAAAAATGGAATAGCATTTAAAACAGCAAGAGGTTCTGAATGATACAGTTGAAAAATACTAGAATCATCTTCATTTTTGTGTACATAGTAACAGAACTAAATCAATTTAGAAATAGAGGTGGGCCCAGGGGGATGGAAATGGATCCCTCTGTTAAAGTACTGAAGTTTGCAGATGATACAACAGTCATTGGTCTCATTCGAGATGATGATAAGTCTGCAAATAGGAGGTTGAACACTCTGGAGCTAAAAACACTTAAAACTGTAGAGATGATAGGAGAGACCTCCTATTCTACCACCTCTTACTATATTAGACAACACAGTGTCAACCATAGAGTTCTTCAAGTTTCTGGATTCTACAATCTCACAGGACTTGAAATGGACGCCTAACATTAGAACCATCATTAAAAAGACACAGCAAAGAATGTTCTTCCAGCATCAAGACAGAAACCTCAGACTGCCCAAGGTGCTGCTGATACAGTTCTACAGAGGAACTATTAAGTCTGTCATTTGTACTTTTATAACTGTCTGGTTTTGGTACAGCAGTTTTAGAACTGCAGAAAAATATTGTAACCAGCCTGCCTTCCATTAGGACCTATATACTGCACAGGTCAGAAAGAGGGCTGAGAAAATATTTACAGACCCCTCACATCCTGGACTTAAATGTTTCAACTCCTTCTCTTGAGACACCTATATAGAGCATTGCATGTCAAAACTAGTTTTTTCTTTGTGCCATCACTCTACCGAACACCTAATTCCCACAGTACTGCCTTATGTCTATTTATCCACATAGTGTGGCTGTATTACTTTTAGCCTTCTCATCTGTTCCACTACCTTCTGTTATTCTGATTATCATTATTTTGATATTATGATTATTATTACTTTGTTGTTTTGCATGTACTCTGAGAGCTTATGCACTGGAGACAAATTCCTTGTGTGTCTATCACAGTGATGGCGAACCTTTTAGAGACCGAGTGTTCAAACTGAAACCCAAACCCACTTATTTATCACCGGGTGCCAGGTGGGTGTGGTCCACTGGGTGGGCGTGGCTGTGGTGGTCATGGCAGACTGGGTGGGTGTGGGCAAGGTGGGCATGGTCACCTCAATGTTGCTCGTGGGGAGGGACGCCTGTGGGGGCCGGGCAGGGTTGGGGGAGATCCAGGGGTACTCTGGCAGGTGGGGCAGTGGGCAGGAGGCTCGTCCTGCAGGGTGAGGTGAGGCAAGGCGAGGCAGGGTGGGGCTGCCATTGTTGCAGGGCAAGGAGAGGCAGGGGCTGGGCAGGCTGCTGCCTGACACCATCGGCCCCCCGCACACAGAGGCCAGCGACCGCATGGGGGCCGACAGTGTCCGTCAGCAGCCACACCCTGCCGGCCCCTCTATTGGCGCACTCTGGGGCTCTGCAGCCCACCAGCAGCAGTTCAGAGAAGCCGCCTCTGACCTGGACGGCCTGCTGACAGCTGAGGAGGCGATGCAGTGGGGAAAGGAGAGCATGCAAGGCCAGGAGGGATGGGATGTGGGGGCGGGGGAGGGAAATCAGCCGTGCTGGGATGCATCCAGCCACATGGGACCTCGGTGAGTTAGCGGGCGGCTGGTTGAAGAGGGACGGTTGCCATCTTTGGGGCATGGCGCGCGTGCCCACAGAGAGGGTGCTGAGTGCTGCCTCTGGCACGCGTGCTATAGATTCGCCACCACTGGTCTATCACATTTGGCCAACAAATTCTATTCTATTCTATTCTATTCTATTCTATTCTATTCTATTCTATTCTATTCTATTCTATTCTATTCTCTATTCTATTCTATTCAAAATAATAAATCATCAGGTTTTTAAAAGCAATATATTTGCTACCTGTGTTTTTGCCATTTTCTTTCCTTCAAAATGTTTTTCTTCAAGAAATAATGAATTCTTGAGGTTTTCTTTTCATTTATTTGGATCAACTGAGTGTTTTTTACCCTTTTATTATTAATTTTATTTTATTTGAAACATTAAAATATAAACTCTAAAAAAGGAAAAAAATACAAACACAAAACAAAACTTGGTAAGTCTACACAAAAAATGTGCATAAAAAGTAAACAAAACAAAACAGACATTACCTAAATTGTCCCCCCATTAATACTGATAAATATATTTCAAAGATTACACCTTCTCTCCCCTTCTGAAGTAGGCACACAATTTATACATTTCTACAACAGTTTACCCAACTCACTTGGCCTGACATCTATTTACTATATGGGAACATAGTTAACAGGTAAAACCAACAGCTAAATTAAACTTCAAGATCCTCAGAAAGTCCACAACAGCTTCTCATCTACCATCAATCACCACAATCATTGTCTCTGGTCTGCCAGGATCAAATATCCTCGACTGATTCTTAATAAGGCTTTTCCTTAAGATATTAAATGGGATCTTTCCTAAGTTGATTTTATTCCCCAAAGTCATAAGTCTTTGTTGTGTATATCTCCAACAGTATTTGCTGTTCAAAAGTCTCCTGTAAGTTGTAATTCAACATCTCTTAACATTTCTTTTCTGATTGAATATAATAAACCATTCTCCAATTTCCATCAATCTTCTTGAGAAAGTCGAGTTCATCCCTGGAAAATTCTATCAACTTTGCCTTTACAATCCATACCTCCTAAGCAACTTGCATTTTCCAAATCAGCTTCATCCTTCAGGTCTGCCGGCAGCAAATTACATTCCTATCCATCTGATACAACTGCTGTTGCATTTGGTTACCTTCTTCGAGGTGGTTGAAAACCACTGTTATTTTATCAAGCTTTTTATCCAAATATTCAAATTGGGCTTGTAAGTTGAAAAGTATTCTTTTTTCCCAACTTTCCCCAAAAGCGTTGTCTTATCGTTTATATTTTGATATAGTCTACGATACTTCAGTAGTTAAACTTTTGCAGCTGAACTTTTACAGCCAATCATAAAAAGCTCCTCTGAAAGATAGGAAAAGCATCATGCAAATTAGCCTTGAAAAACGTTGAAAAGAACTTTCCCAGCATAAAAAAGAGAGATTTTCATCAATTTTCTTTTAAAAATTAAGACCGGACCTTTTAAAAAATTATAAAGTATGAAATCCCTATAGTGAAAGTTTCATACAAATGTAAAAATCAGATCTTTTTCACTACCCAGAGTCTTAACTAGTCATTAACATTTAAAAGTAAAAATCAAAAAAGAAAATATCAAAACATGCTGTTAAAACCTAGGCGTTCTTAAGGCATCAGGCAGCTGGTAGGAAAAGATGGAGGCCCAGCCCTCTGACCACTCCCATTGAAAATTGCAACCTTCTAGGCCCTCTTCTCAGGTAGGTCCACAGTCATTTGAGGGACATTTTGGGCCATTCCTAGTAGCTCCCATTCAAATCCAGGAAGCGTACTGCCAAAGAGCCAGCTTTGGCGGTGAAACCAGGTGGCTGTTAGCAGGGGAGGGAAAAAACCCCTACTGATTCAGAAAGCCGTCTTGGGGGCGGTGGTGGTGGTAGATCAACTAAGTGTTGATCCATTGGCTGTTGCAGGAATTGACTGAATGGCTTCTCTCCTGAGCATGACGTCGAAAGCTGAGAGTGAGAGAGTAAATGACTCAAAGTCATCCAGCTGGCTTTAATGGCTAAAATAAGATTAGAATTCACAGTCTCCTGGGTTTCTAGTCTCGTACCGTAAATATGGTAATAAAAAAAAGAGAAAATGGTATAATGCTGATTTAGAAAATTTATAGATCACAATTATATTTTAAAATCCAAATAAAATGAAAAGGCACTTGAAGTTCAGAAACCTGGAGGAACTGAGTTTTAAAAAAATTAAGGGAAAATACTGGTAATTTACAACACAACTTCAGCAATACCAAGTCCAGAATTACTTTTTTATAGCTCTCCTTGAATATATATTGCCTAAGCAAGCCTATTAGACTGTCACCTGGCTTGTTTCCTGTATGCAATTCAAATTACAAATCAATTAATTTGATTTAGAAAAAAAGACATCTAAATATTCAAAGATCAACTATTACAAAAAATTCTTTTCACAAGAATAAAAATGGAAAAACCAACTTCAATTGAAAACACCTTATTGTAAAATTAATTTACTAGAACTGTATAATTATATAATAGGCAAAATGATTTTAAGTAATATATAGATTGGTAATCTTACAATTACTATATCTTCTTGAGATATAGATTGAAGGCCAACTCAATTAGCTCTCTTTTAATTTGCATACCATGAAAATCAGCAAAGTAAAAAACAAAACATCCACTACTGATAGTTTCTCGGGAGCACAAAACTTGGTATTTCTTTGCAACTTGACCATTTACTAAATGATGATGTGAAAGTACATTGTACTCCCCCCCCCATCAAATTTCCAGAAGACTTGTCATGGCTCAGGGAAAAGGGAATGCAGGAGAGAAAGAGCAATACAGGTAGTCCTTGACTTACAACAATTGAACCCCAAATTCATGTTGCTAAGTGAGACATTTGTTAAGCGCGTTTCGCCCTATATTACAACTTTTCTTGCCACAGTTGTTAAGCAAATCATTGCAGATTTTAGTTAGTAACATTAAGTGAATCTGGCTTCCCCATTGATTTTGCTTGTTGGGTGACAAAAACTGATTACATAAACATGAACCAGTTGCCAAACATCCAAATTTTGATCATGTGACCAAGGGGATGCTGCAACAGTCATAGGTGTGAAAAATGGCCATAAGTTACTTTTTTCAGTGCCATTGTAACTTTGAAAGGTCACTAAACAAACTGTTGTAAGTCAAGGACTATCTGTATATTAGCATCAAACTATACTTCTTCCTCATTAGTTTTTAGACTATAGTGAAGACACAATCTGCAGCTAAATACTTTTAATCTTTAACCCCGGCCTATAGCTATAATGAACATATACACAAATTGAGTTCAGTTTAAAAGTATACTGATGTAGAAATCCACAAACAGTTACAGGGAACTAGATATCCCTCAATATGCATCTAAAGGATTGAGGATTTGCCTCAGAAATTTCAGGAGTTGTTCTCTGAAACTCCAGTTACAGATGCTCTGCTTATAGTTCTTTTGAAGTTCCACTCAGCAAGATTCTTTGCTATGGAAATGTACAACTTCATGTATTAAGAGCATTACCTAATGTTTGGAAAGATTACCATTAAAGCATTTATGTTTTCATAAACAAGTCAAAGTCCTTGTAGAAGATCATTCTGCTGTAATATACTGTTGGCAAATTTAGTTTCAAACAAAAATGTTAAAATTTAATAATATGCTCCAGTATTTTATAGAATAGCTATATAAAGGGATCCAGTATCGAATTTCATCACTATCAAACAAAATTTGTTTGATTATATGGATTCCAGGAGATCACTAAGGATGCTATATAAACAAAAAAATCAGAAAGCTGAATGGCTGTGTTCATGTAGTGTGACTAAGTTTTCTTTGTCGGAGTGGGTAGCGTCTCTGTGGAGAACATGATGATCTCTTTATTTTGAGTAGAACAGAATTACCGCTAGCAGTTTGTGAAGGTATAACTTCCACTTGTGATGTAAGGTTTTTTACATCATTTTTATCCTCTTTCTTAACTTCAGAACCAAACATGATTTCTTGATGGAGTCTGCATTGTTCCAAAGTTTGTTGTAAAGACAATGCTTTTGAGAAGCCTTCTGCTCTTTCTACAAGGGATGACAGCGACTGGAGATGGCAGGAGAAAAACAAAAACAATTCCAGGTTATTCAAATTGAGCTACTATATCCCGGAAGTACTACAATTCCTAAACTGCTTTGATGAATTTTAGCAATAGTACCCTAAACATTAATTCATATGTGCTATTTATTACAAACCTTCCGTAATATCGCTTTGCAATTTCAGTACACATTTAAAAGGACTGAAATTTTGGGAGTTGTAGATTCAAAACATACGTAGATGATACTAAGTACAGCAGACAAATTCTGAATAAATCTATTCAGTTGAAAAATAAGAGACCTCTACTGTCTTTTTCTTAAAACAGTTAATGAATCAGGTTTTCACAAGTGTCCTATAATATTGCTTGACAATAAGTTAAAATTAGGAATCTGTAAATCTATGCATTCCCTGGAAATGGATATTTGGAGAACACCACCAACCACTTCCTATCCTGGAAAATACACTTCTGGAAAGACAAGACTTTCTAGAACTAGCATATCATTGCATTCCAGGGAGCAGGGAAACGTTTGAGAACTGGAATGTGTAATTTTTCACAGTTATGTTTCTAGCTCATGAATGCTACTAACTTGGACCAGACTTTGTTGTAGTTAAAACTGATTATCTTAAGTTAGTTGGAGTTGACTCATTAATGCATGACCCATTATGTCAATTAATCAACTAATACAATCCATTATATCTTTAGAAACCTCACCTTAAATGATTCTCCAGTATATCTAGACATAGTTTTTGTTGAAAGTCTCAGTTCTACCATAGACTGATCTGGAAAAAAAAGATTCATGTATTCTCTTACAAGATAAACCAAGAAAAACATCAATCTGCTGCATTGTAATGTAAAAGAGAGAGAGAGAGTGAGAGGAAATGATATTGAGATAGTATCATGGGCCAGCTACTATTCCAAAGAGGGTATTTTATTCAACATCGAAAAAGAAAAGTTCCAAAATTGTAAAAAATACAAATGTTTTGTGGACCGTTATTTCATTCTGCAATTTACTATCAATTTATTTTTTGATAAGGAATCATATACTGTGACACTCAATGCATTAAATATACAATCATTTCTGAAATACATCTGAAACATGCAAAACTAAAAATAAACCCCTTCTCTATCACATACCGGTATACAACTACTCATATGATATAGTGAGATTCTAAGGAACTCAGTTAGGGATACTTCATTCAAAATCCATATTCAGCATGCAATTTAATTTACCATTGCTTTAGATCGGTCAGATCTCCTTATAATCGAAGTCATACAATGTTGAAAAGGGATGACAGAAAAATAGCTAAATAAACTAATCAGAACTCCATGGAACAAATAAATGATTGCAGTGTAAAACAAACAGAAAAACAATAGCAGATTTGTAAATAAATATTGCCTTCCAGGATTTCACAGTCCCTAAACTGCCAGCTTCCTCCACAAATTTCTAATATGTACAGCTGGGTGGATAATAAAAGCTCTTGTGTATTGCAATTTCATAGTATTTTTTAACAACGTTATCCAAAGGAGTAAAAATGTTCAAGTTGCTATTAATTATCCCATTTAGCTTAATATTTAGTTTAAAACCAAATTTTAAAAGTTTTTCTGATAGAAACCTCTGAAATTAAACTGTTACACACACACGCACATACACATATATAGTGCTGTAAACTATTTATCTCCTATTCTTCCAAGGACAATTTTTTTATCACTATTGTATCAAATATCATAAATGCTGATTTCCAGTAAATCAACAGACATGTCTTTTCTTTTTGCAGCTCCTGAACCCTAATAATCAGAATTCTGAAAAGGAAATTCCTAGAACTATTTAATCCAAAACTGCATAAATCCTAGATTAATCTATCTGGAAAATACTGTGCTGAATTCTAAACTGTACATCAGTAATAAAGAACAGTAAATAGTAATTGTAATTATAATCTCTATTAAAAGAGATGATATAAAGTACAGGTAGTCCTACGACCACAATTGAGCAGAGAATTTATGTTGCTAAGTGGGAAATTTTTAAAGTGAGTTTTGCCCCATTTTATGACTTTTTTTGCCACATTTATTAAGTGAATTACTGTAGCTATTAAATTAGTAACACGGTTAAGTGAATCTGGCTTCCCCATTGACTTTGCTTGTCAGAAGTTTGCAAAAGGTGGTCACATGACCTTGGGACACTGCAACCATCATAAATGTGAACCAGATGTCAAGCATCCAAATGTAAATCACATGATCATGGAGATGCTGCAATTATCATAAGTGTGAAAAATGGTCATAAGTCACTTTTTTCAGTGCCGTTGTAACTTCGAATGGTCACTAAATGAAGTGTTGCAAGTCAAGGACTACCTGTATTTCCTGATTATAACTGCAAAACATAATATACATTGAGGTTCTTAATGCAGTTACATACAAGTTTTGAGGCCACAGTGAACCTTGAAGCTTTCTCTTTATATTTCTTAAAAATCACCCATATGAAATTGTCTACTTCTATACTGCTACTATATGCAGCATATAGGTCAACACAAGTCTTCTAAAAACCTCACAATACAATATTTTCCAGGAAAAGGGAAGGAATAATCAAGCAAGTAAATTTCTAAGTTAGCTAAGATTTTCCAGATATTTGTGACCTAGGACCAATCTACATGTTAAACAAATACAAAATCACAAAATCAGTTTTGACTCACAAGTAACCTTTCTCAACTCAAAAAATTTGGGAAATCATTCTTCAGATAAAGACAAATGAGTACACATTCAAGCAGTGTATCTTGAGCAATGCTCAGCTCTAGGAAGGCAATGGCAAATTACTTCTGAAATCTTGCCAAGAAAACAGTAGGGACTAGTTCAGACAGCCACCAGGAGTCAAAAACACAATCCACCCCCCTGCCCCCCCTGCAATTTTCTTCATCAGCTATATTTGTTTCTTCCTTCTATGGAACAGTATCTTGTTTATTTTGCAGGAAGACCCTCATTGGGGTGGGGTGAGGTTCAGATTTTGAATTCAAAATTTTCATAAGCTGAAAAAACTCACTGTTGTGAGATAAGCAGCCATATCAATTATTCAAAATAAATAACCCTATGGCCATACCCAATGCTCACTTTTAGCCCTTTAAACCTTGTTGGTGACTATAAAGTCCCCTCTCCAGCCAATTATCAACAAAAGCAAAATTTTGCAAATAGTTTCACTACTTTTTGCAGATACAGTTAAAATGTACTTAATAAAAAAAGGTAAAACTAGAAAAAATATAATGGAAAGCTCCAGGACCATGCAGTTCTTTGCATGCTAACTTTATTGATCCTAGGGTGGTGTTTTCTCATATAATGTCTATTTTCATCGTTCTTGTTTCCTCAGTTTCCAGTTCTGCTTTCCCAAGCATCTGTATGATGCTCCTGCTTTTGCTCTTTGAATCTCTTTCCCAAATCTAATTTCTATTTTCCTACTATAACCGGCCATAAGTAAGTGCAATCTAGCTGGGTGACCATGGGCCAGTCACTCTTTCTCAGCCCTAGGAGGAAGGAAATGGCAAAGCACTTCCAAAATATTGCCCAGAAAACTGCAGAGACTTATCCAGGTATTTGCCAGGAGTCAACACTGACTCAGAGGCACATTAAAAAAGGAGTCCAAATATAAAAATAAAAATCTTCACTCTCTTTACATATGCTACCTTTTATATTAGAAAGTCATTGAGCTAAGAACTGTCCTCTTGAACTTTCTAAAACTCTTGTGAAAACTGAAAGTATCATAACATTAATAAATTCTTTCTGGATGACTTATGGTCAACTTGACTGAACTTGGACAAGTAATTGCCCTTTACTTCTGCATTCCACCTGTAAAATACGAATAATGGGAAGAGTTACAGCACACTATATATTGTAAAATCATTACAAAACAACTGCTTGCAAGTTTTTCTAAAGCTGATTTACCTCATTTGAAAAGAAATTGGATTATTCCCATCAATCTACTCCAATAATCCTTATTTGTTTGCCCTGGCAGAATATTACACAACTGTACATCAGAGAAGTATTTAAAAACTTAGATGTTTACACTGCTTCCAAAACATGGGAAATGAAACAAGGAAATGAAAGCTAATAATTCTATCTTTCGTTTCTGTTGACTGTAGTTACTACACAGGGATAGATGCAAATTCCAAACTGTGCAAATAAATTCATTCATAATATATCTGCACAATGTTTTCCTAAACGTTATTTCCACTTTAGATTTTTTTAAAAATATGTGATTGATCAAATAGTTTTACTTTACAATCTAACCAGCATGTGGAACTTGTGGCACAAATTTGTATGAAATAATTCTTCATTGCAAATAAATTACTATAGCAATGTTTTCAAGTTAGAAGAAATGCTGTCTGAAGACAAGTTAAACTTGATAGTAAAATGCCATGTCTGCCTTAGTAAATATGTGATTAGCTATTCACGTTATGCTAAAAATAAAATGAAATAGTGATATGATTGTTTTTACTATTTTTTACTGCTATATTTGACCTACTCCACATTTTCATAGCCTTATCATAACATACATTCTTACTAGTAACATCTAATAAAATGGTATAATTTACTGCTTTTTATGAAGCAATAAAATTAATATTGAGCAGAGTTAAGTTCAGCTCTCCACATAGTCCCAGTTTCTCATGTGGTCCTTTGGGAAAATTAATTGCCCATCCCCCGGTCTAAGCACTATGGCCTGGAAAGTGGTAGAATTAAGACCATAAACTTTATATGGCATTCTGTTTTTTCCTGCAAAGCATTGCATCCAAAACCATAGGGTTTTTTTTTTAACCTTAAGTCGTGTTTTTTTAGTCAGAGTTCTGTGAGAGCATGACTAAAAAAAATAAATAAGCATCACTGTTTGAACTTTGGACACATAATGCTAGTGCTCACAGTGATTGGTGATATTTACACACCCCAACTTAGCTGCTAGCCTGCCACTTTGCTGTTATTTTAACATTGCAAATTGTGGACAGTATAGGCTAAAAGTGAATTTTATTGTGAAGTTTCTCTATTTTTCACAATTGTTATGCAGGGGTTCCAAGACCTGAACATCATTTCAAGGGTTTTTCCAGGGTTAGAAAAGGCTGTCTTAGAGACTTTGTACGATATGCTTTTTTTCACTAGAATTCACATCAGATGCATAAAATGTTTCCCCAAATTGCCAGATTTTATCTCCTCTCCTCTCCTCTCCTCCCTCCCTCCCTCCCTCCCTCCCTCTCTCTCTCTCTCTCTCTCTCTCGTTATATTTGTAAGAACAGATAGTTATGGAGTATTTAAAACATATAATTGCTATATTCTATGAAAAGAAAGGAAGCACATCATTCAGAAAATTACCTTGAGAAGGTTCAACTTTTATGTCTTGACAGTTCACAAAAGGTTGATAGCCCTAAGCATACAAAAAAATACATTCAAAATCTCTTTCCTTTGTTTGCATTATAACTTCTAAAATGTGACTTAATTCATGGTTAAAACATTTGAATCTTAAGCAAATAAAAATTCTTATCCATATACGTATATGTAATACATCTCTGTAAAAGTAGCCATTATTTGATTTGTAAATTTAGCAATAGCAGGTTTTGCTGTCTCATCACATACAGGCAGTCCTTTCCTGCTTTAGCAGGGGGTTGGACTAGAAGACCTCCAAGTCCCTTCCAATCCTATTATTCTGTTAAGTCCTCACTGAACATACAGTCATTTCATTTCATTTCATTTATTGGACTTATATGCCGCCCTTCTCCCCACAGGACTCAGGGCGGCTCACAGCATATTAAAACAGTATAAAACATTATCCCCAATAAAAACCAATTAAAAACAAATATTTGTCGCTGTGTCTTATTAAAATCATTAAAATTGTCCCTATTTAAAATTCACCCTAGGCCAGACCCACTTGCTGAAAAAGCCATGTCTTGAGGGCGCGGCGGAAAGCTAGGAGATCCGGAATTGTCCGGATCTCGGGGGGTAGTTCGTTCCAGAGGGTGGGGGCACCCACAGAGAAGGCCCTCCCCCTGGGGGTCGCCAGCCGACACTGCTTGGCCGACGGCACCCTGAGGAGGCCCGCTCTGTGGGAGCGTACCGGTCTGTGGGAGGGAATCTGTGGCAGAAGGCGGTCTCGGAGATATTCAGGTCACCTTCTGAAGTTGCTGAACAATGGGCACTTATGGCAGATCTTCGTAGTTGTGGCCACTGCAACGTCCCCACGATAATGGGATAGCAATTTGGGTGCTTGGCAACTGGCTTGCAATTATGATGTTGCAGCGTCCCACAGCCACATGATTGTCATTTATGACTTTCACTGCTAGCTTTTGTCAAATAGAATCAATAGGGAAACTGGCAGGAGGTTGTAAGTGGCAATCATATGACAGGATGCTGTGACCACTTAGGATTCACCTAACAGTGGCAACTGGGACTACTGTCATAGTTACAATCACACTGCTTAGTCACAGAGTTCCACTGGTAAGGGAGGACTACCTGTATTAATTAGGTGAGTTAAATGCTGCTATTACAATACATTTTACATTCTAATCTAAATAATCAAAGTTCTACATTATCTAACTTTACAGCAATTGGGATAACTAATAAAACAGTGCCCCCTGCTGCAAGACTTAGGATAAGCTAGATTTCTTATTTAAAAAATACCGACTTTTATTAAAAAATGTTATCAGTGATTGTAAGTAACTGAACAGCCATCTTACTGGTTTCCTGAAAATGTTTTATAGATATTTTTATTTTACTCAAAACCTTTTTTTTGGGAGTTCTGTATTTTGTATTTTAATCTTGTTTGAAACAAAATAAAAATATATTTAAGAAAAAGCTGCAAAGCAAGTGTTCTCAAACTCAAGCACTGAAAAAGCCAGTAAGACAGAACTAGAAAGCGTGTCTGCCCCAAAACAAATAGCTCATAGGCAGAAAGGGGGAAATGTTAGAAGGCACCTATACAATGGCACATATATGTCTTGGCTACAGATTATAAAAAGAGCAATAATAAGCAGAAGAAAGGGTTTTTTAAAATAATAATTCAGATACTGCAGGACATGCTGCTGTAGAGGACATCACTTGGTTAACGTTCAGTGGAGTAGAGTCTGCCAAGTACAGAGATACTGGTCCTGGGACAAGAAGGAAGATCAGGAAGAAAATGCTGGACTGATTTGAAAGAGTGTGGAAAGACCAGGAGGAGAAACTGTGATGTGTGTTTGGAGAGTCAGAAGCAAAATAGTGGAACTATGTGAATTAACGCCTTTGTTTGGTAGCAAAGAGCTGGAAAAAAAATCACAGACATTCCAGTCTCAATAATTAAGATAAGGAGGAGAAGAAAAAGTCATAATAGAGTACAAATGAATAGTGAAAGAAAAAGACTTGAGAGGGAGGAAAGTTAACTAGGTTAAGATTTGATTTATTACTGTATACTCTTATGAACATACTGATTTTGTAAATATTTTCACTTGTGTAATACTAAATCACACTATTTTATTAGCATAGAAATCACGTCCTGCTTACAATCACTCACACCTTTCATATGGATTACTGTAATATGCTCTATATGGAGATGCAAAATGTGCCTGTGTAAGCACTTATGTGCACCCCTTGATTGGGCTATGTTACCCTTCTCCCTGTGGATTGCTAGAGCATGTGAGGAGCTATATTTAATCCTCTGGGTGGTTGGGATCACCTTGGCTATGAGTTTTGTGATACTGTTATATATATTTATTGCTTTACATTGTACTTTTTGCTACTTTTATATTGTTTTTGACTGATTGTGAACTACCCAGAGTCATGTATTAAAAGGGGTGGCTATATAAAACTGATAGTGTCCACAATAAAAATATTTAAGTACTGGCTGTATGTGTGTCTATATCATCTCCTATCCTGAACCTCTCTCTGCTACTGTAGTAAACAAAATCATTATCTGATTCTCTCAAAGTAAACATTTTCATCCAATGACTTAAGAATTAAAATTACTCACCAACAATTTTTGTTGCATTTTAATGCCTTTAACAACATTTATTTGCATTTTTCTAGGATACTGACTACGCTTGGAAGCCACTTCCACAATTAATTCATCAAGCTGATCTTCAAGGAGTTTAATGTCTGTGTCTATTTCACAACAAAAATAGAAATATTTAATATTTGAAAAGTATAGTATGCGGATATATTTTTAACTTCAATTGGCATAGAAAGAATACATATATCATCATCTTCAGCAAAGATACATGAAAGTATAATGAGAAGGGAAAAGATTTATTATAGTAAAATGTTTATTCATTATTAAAATTAAAAATTGTGAAACAAATTTGAATTTATGTTAAATGAAAAACTGTATAATAAACCCATAAAAAGCAAACCAACAAAAAAACAATACAACTAATGATTTACTTGCCTAGAAATTATTGCCTAGAAACAGACTAGTTCAGTGGTGGCGAACCTATGGCACGCGTGCCAGAGACGGCACTCAGAGCCCTCTCTGTGGGCACGCGTGCCGTTGTCCCACCAGAGTTCGCCACAGTAGCGAGCACGTGGCGTTTGGAAGTGACAGGGCAGGAAGTGAGCAAGCAAGCAGCGTTGGTCCCCCGGGGATGCCCCAGAGATGGAGAGGGACTGGCCCCGGCCACGCTCACCCAGTCTGCCATGACCACTGCAGCCACACCCACCCTGTGGGCCACGCCCCCCCGAGGGCACCACAATGCTGATGTAGCCCTGGCACTTTGCGATAAATAAGTGGGTTTTTGGTTGCAGTTTGGGCACTCGGTCCCTAAAAGGTTCGCCATCACTGGACTAGTTTCTTGACATAAATCATTTTAACTGAAAAAGGAACGAAGAATCATGTCCACCAAACTGATTGGAACTCTTCTCCAAGTAAAAACAAAAATACGGGTACAGGTAATCCTCACTTAATGACCACAATTGGTAATGGAATCTCAGTCATTGAGCAAAGCGGTTGTTAAGTGAAACACCCATATGACTGCTTCATTCAATGACTGCAATGACTGCACTTCCACTTGCAGTTATTAACCTGCCTCCTAGGTTGTTAAGCAGACAGAGTGAAAAGGCTGGGTTCTGGCAGATGAAATCCATCAGAAGGCAACCCTTTGGCTCTCAAACATTCCTGTAGCCAGTTATTAAGAAATATAGAACGTTGTACCAAATGGCTCTGTAAAATTCATCACTTCTAGTTAAAATAAAATAGCAAATTTAAAAAAAAGTCAATAATTCAATTGCAATGAAATTGAAAGGAAATATAGTACAACTTTTCCAGAAACGTTCTAACATTATTCACATCATTTTAAACTAGAAAAATCTTATGTAATTATAAACTGTCATCCAAAAACTATAACAGGCCAACAGATGGCAGTAATAGATCCTTTTAATCTGAGATGACAGGAAAAGAATAGAAATCTTTTTGCATATAAAGTATATGATCTATTATGTTATGGTCTCCTCACCATAAATGTATCTATAACTAATATTTTTGAACCAGACTAACATTACAAGGAACTGTATTACAACAGGGACTAGGTGAATACAGCAAAATACAGGTAGTCCTTGACTTACGACAGCTGAGCCCAAGATTTCTATTGTTAAGTGAAACATTTGAGTTTTGCCCCATTTTACGACCTTTCTTGCCATAGCTGTTAAGTGAATCACTGTAGATCAGGGGTGTCAAACTGCCGGCCCGCTGGCCGGACGTGTCATCCAGAAGCGTGCCCACCCATTGCCAGCAATGGCAAAACCGTCCTGATACATTGTGCGATGTCACGTGACGTCGCGAGTTTGACATGTCTTCTGTAGATGATCAGTTAGTAACCCAGTTGTTAAGTGAATCTGGCTTCCCCACTGACTTTGTTTGTCAGAAGGCCGCAAAAGGGGTTCACATGACCTTGGGACATAGCAATGGTAATAAATATGAACCAGCTGCCAAGCATCTGAATTTTGATCACATGATCATGGGAATGCTGCAAAGGTCATAACTGTGAAAAATGGTCATAAGTCACATTTTTAGTACCGCTGTAACGTTATCCAGTCACTAAACGAACTGTTGTAAATCGAGGACCACCTGTAATTATATATAAGATTTTCCAACAGTATTAGTCAATATTTTGTATATTAACTCTAAGGATGCTTTTAAATAATATACCATTTTGAAGATTTGATGATTCCTGCCATGGCTGCCCATTAACAGTGATATTCTCTTGTACAGCTGTTTCAAAGTTCTGTACAAAATGTAGAAAAATATAGATATAAATATATAATGTATGAATTCTTAAAGAGATACCTTTAATTGCCAATGCTATATCACAAAATGGACCACTAAGGAATGACATCGATAAACAAAATGTTGATAAACAGCATTCTGATAAAGCACATCCATTCAGCAAAACAAGTCCAGAATATTTACAAGCACAATGATGTTCCCATGTTGATAGGTAAATTACAAGATAGTTTCCAACATTTGGTGCATTCCAAAATTCCAGCATTCAGCAACAAGGCTTCTAACATTTTTTCACATTTTAGCATGATAAACAAGCAGAATGCATAACAAAATACATATAGAAAGGTCTAACAGGAAAAATACAATTATGGGGAATAAATGCTCATTACAGATACAAGTATTTTCATAAGAAGAAACACATGTCAAATTCAACTCTATTAATATATAGTCACAAATACCTGAAAAAACCCTTTGTGTTGCTAAACAGAAAACTCAAGGCAAATTAATGGATGTAATAAGTCCACTGCCCTTTCTGAAACAGAGTGAAATGCCCAGTTCAGATTGTACTTCATATATATAGAAAGATACTATTAATTTCTGTCAAGGGAATAATTGCAACTTCTCTTGTTGTCTGTTTTCACAATTAATTATTACCAGTAATTAAGATTTTTCACCAAAAATAAGAGAAAGGAAACTCTGACATGTACTCTAGAGAAAGTACATCCTAACTGGTAGGCAGTCTCTAGAACTCAATAGTCAGAAATTACTTTCTGGATTTCAAAATAGGGTTTTATTTGGGTGTGTGTGTGTGTCTGCATACAAAGCTAGCAATTGCAGAGGCATTATCAATTTGAAAATCAGTCTTTTCAAATTTTTACGAACTCATTAGATGACCACAATCCAGCCAGTCTTGACTTACAGTATGCAGAGCATACAAAATTACATTATTTACTATCATAATTACAAAATCTAAACAAACTTACTAAGGAAAGATCACTTAACATGATTTCCAAGCATAATGTAACAAACACATATCAAACTTTTAGAAAAAAAACCTTGCATGGTAAATACATGTAAATACAGTACACAACAGCAACTTTCCCTAACATAATGATTTGCATAGTTTTATCTATTCAATTATTGGCTGTTTTAATGCCAAGGTTTTATTTTAAATACTTTTAATAATTTTAAGGTTATTAGTAATTAATTACCAGTCTAGCTTAATTTCTATTGGCTACTTCTGATACAGGTTTTTTTAAAATTAAGATCAGTGTCAGAAGTGCCAACTTCTACAACAATTTCTGCACTAATTGTGAAATTTCTTCAGGGATGCTTAGCAACCTCCCCCTTGAATCTTTGTTATGTATGTAAATTATGTTTCTTCTTATGAAAATACTCATTTCTGTCGCTTCCATATTGCTTTTCAATATTTTTACAACTGATAGATAATTGCTTTTCCTATCTTCACAGAAATCACAAATAAAACGCCTTGGTGTCATACTATATTTAAAAATCAGCAACATTTATGTTGCATTTATAATTTCTGGTGTTTGAGGGTGAAAAGTGGTTAGGACCGTATCATACAGTACATACCGGTGGGAGAGGGATTGTGAAGAGGTATGCTTATTTTATAAGTTACTAGCTGTACCCGGCCACGCGTTGCTGTGGCTCAGACAGGTTAAATGTTTTTACCTGTCACAGGTGTGACATCTATATAATAGTAGGTATATAAAAACACGCGCGTATTCGAATGCAACGTTGTGTCAAAATTTCAAAGCAATCGGTGAAGAACTTTCGGAGATTTAAGATTTTGAACAAACGAACATTTACATTTTTATTTATATATATTATTATTATTCAGGATAAGATAAGATACGGCAGCTTGTGTGTGCTTCTGACCTCAAAGATACAAGAATCTGAGATGTCCGTTTTCAGCAATCAATCTTTAAGAACGGTGAAAGAGTGTAAAATGTAAGAAAAAATTTACATAAAGCTTAAATGTTGAAGGTGGATAGATATATCATATAGTTTTTGAGTAGATATATTGTTTTTACTTATTGCTTTATTAGAGTTAAAGTAGGTATATATTGATTGTATTATGTTTGTTTAGTTAAATTGTAATTTAGATACGGAATGGGATGTGTTTTAATCCTGTATTTGGTTCCGGGAAGTCCAGGGGGAGAAGGGGATTAGGGGAATTATAAAAATTGATGTATTTACATGTTATAGGTAAACAATAATTGTATTGATAATAGGAGATGCTCGGCTGGTATCCCAAATTGCACTCGAGGAGGTGGTTAGAAAGGAGATGGGACGTAGATAGGTGGAAAGGAGGAGAGGTTGTGGGTTAGAGGGAGGAAGGATAGGAAAGCGGATGAGGGTGGAGGCAAGGCGGGGACTGCCGAGCGTTTCCGACAATGTATTGACTTGGATTATTTTTTTTTCTCTGCTTGTGTATGTAAATGCATCATATTGCTATTTGTTGTTTAATTATAAAAATCAATAAAATTTTATTAAAAAAAAAAGAACGGTGAAAGAGTTATTTGGGGCCAGAGGTTACTCGTCCCCTTACTAAAGAAACTCTAGGGCAAGAATTAACCCCTATTCAACCAAAGAACGCCCCGCAAACAATTCAATATTTATTTAAAGTCTTCCTCTTAACGAGAAGCATTAAACCTGCCTAAACCTCCTAGCAGCCCAACTGTCACCACGGCCAAGCCATCTCAGTCTGACTCCCCTTACCCAAAGCGCTTCCCCAACAGCCTGTTCCAAGTTCTCGGTCTCAACAGCCTGACCAGCCCCGAGTCTGCGCACGAACGGTCTGCAATGATCCAGCAACTCGGCCGTCCATCGGCGTGAAAGGCACTGCACTCGCGGCTCCGGACTCGGCAACGGAGGACAAACTGCCGCAGCCCCCGTCAGCTGCAGCGCCTCCATCTCGGCTGCCATTTCCCGCTCTCTTTCAAAGCGTCCTTAACTTCCCCCTCCCACCCGGAAGTAGAAGTAAGTGATCCTCATTTAACGCTTTGCCACCGCGACGGTGGAATCCGGATATAGGTCCGGGTGGAAACAGCGACTGGAACAACTCTAGTTCTGAGTGCCAGGATGGGAGCGGTGGACTGTCACTGCCATCTCGCGGCGCCCGAATTTCAAAGGGTAAGTGGCTTTGGACTAAGGCAGGGGTAGGCAACCTTGGCTCTTTTATGACTCGTGGACTTCAACTCCCAGAATTCCTGAGCCAGCCAAGCTGGCTCAGGAATTCTGGGAGTTGAAGTCCACGAGTCATAAAAGAGCCAAGGTTGCCTACCCCTGGACTAAGGGAAAAAAATACACCACCAAAATCTTTACTAAAAGCTCTTATTAAGTCATCTCAAACCTTTGCAAAGAAGTTGCAGGTTTTCTTCATCGGGAAATATTGTTATTTAAGGATTAGGAAGGAACTAGGTTACTGTTTGATATGGCAATGTCTGCCCGAACTTGCCGTCTGAAATTTATTTATTTATTCGATTTCTATACCCGCCCAGCTCAGCCGTCAATGACTCTGGGCGGCTTACAATTCAAAACAAAAATGATTGTTAGGAGAATCTGAAAATATATGTGTTGGTCCTATGGGGGAGGGGTGCGGTGTGGGGGGGGGAGAATACACCAGGGATTTCCCCAAAGATTGCAAACATTTGTGGATCTTCTGGTTATACTATGGAGATATCTTCCTGACTCTACTTAAGCATCTCCAATTTAGGGCTGAAATCTGAATCACTTCTAAATGGATACAGTGAATACAGAAAGCCACAGAAGAATCTATAAAAGTTCTAACCCAGTGGTTCTCAACCTTTTTAATGTCGCGACCCCCAACCGGTCGTAAGTCGAGGACTAAACCGATCGTAAATCGAGGACTAAACCGGTCGTATGTTGAGGACTACCCAACCGGTAGTAAGTCGATGACTTTCCCTGCCCGGGAGCGCCGCGCATGCATGGTTCCGCCCCCTGCGCCGGCCGAGGCATAGCTGGCAAGCGGCAGAGACGGAGCAGGCCGACCACCAGCTGGCCCAGCCCAAGGGACGTAAGGCACCCGCCGGAAAAGGGAAAAAAAATGGCGGACAGCCTTGCTTGGCGACCCCTGTGAAATGGTCGATCAACCCCAAATGGGGTTCCGACCCATAGGTTGAGAAACGCTGTTCCAACCAAACTATGCCAGCATATCTGGATAAAGACACTGTAGTCAACAGATTGGAAGAGGTCAATCTACATTCCGATACCAAAGAAATAGTTTATTATATTTTCTTTTTTTCTTCTTTTGGTGTGTTTTTACAATGTTTTTTTTTTCTTTTTAATGTATTTTTGTATTAAAATTTGTATCTGTTTTATCTGTTCAATATAATCCTTAATAAAAATTGTAGGGGGAAAAGAAAGAAAAGTTAGGCTGCATTACTCTTTATGGGTAGAATGAAAATCTTGGTCCTTTGCAAATATGCTATGTTTAAACATAATGATCTGTCAGCATAATAACATTTTAACCTCTTCCAGGATATTGAACGTGTATTGGAAGATGCAAAAAAGGTTTGTAATATTTTTCAGTTGTTATTTTCTCTTTATCAAAGTATAAAAATAGTTACATCTGCATTTGTGTTTTGGAACTTAAGCAGATTGAATGTTGAATGTTCAGTTAGACTAAAATTCAAAACACTGACTGGTGACATGCAGTTTTATTTTAACTAGCCAGATGACTTCAGGCCAGTCATTGTCTCTTAGCCCAACTCAACACACAAGGTTGTTGTGGGGAAAATTGGAGGAGGAAGGAATATTGCTATGTTTGCTGCTTTGAGCTGTATATGAAAAAAATGATATTTTTAAAAAAATTGTACGAACCCAGCCCAACCCCTGTGGTAAACCATAGGTATGCATGATAGAGTAAGCCTCAGTTTATGGCTTAGCCTATTGCACATAAGAACCCAAAATGTGGGTTATTCTTTACAATTAAGACCTCTGTAGTTCAGTGCAATGAGCCTGTGAAAGAAGACTGCTAGCCTCTGTTCCTCATGCAGTCATTAGATGTTCAATATACCACAGAAGTGTATTTGATTGATTCATATATGCTTTCTTATATGTGGCCTGCTCCCTTTGATGGTACACATAATTCATATCTGGAAAAAGTTGGGCTGATTTGCAAGTAATCTAGAAAGGACACAGATCTGAATGCTAATATATTCAATGTAAAAATGAAGCCTGATGCATACTAAGCAGTGCTTTTGTTTGTTAAAATAGTAAGATTATATAGGTACTGAGACAAACGGCCTCAAGAGCCTTTCTTAAAAGTTCTAAAATTATACTTTATATATTCCAAATATATATTATTCGGGATGCAATAAGGTCTCCTGATTGGATAGGAGGTTGGACTAGACTAGAATACCTCCAAGGTTCCTTCCAGTCCTTATACTTTTTGGAAAATTGAAAGATGGAGTGCATGGGTGGAAACTGTTGAGGCATGAGACAAATGACCCAAATTGGAACTGGAACCTAACTTTTATGGTTTAAGGAAGTCTCAAAAAGGAAATATTTTTCCATCTCATCCTTTACTCAACTATTTTCTTTTCAGCAGAATGAATCTGCAATTCTATGCACAGGTTTTGTGGGACAATCAGAATAGCCATAGAACTAATGTGAGATGCAGAACTTTCCTTCTGTAAACTTTCTATACACAGGTTACTTTAGATTCAAATCATCGTACCATAATTTAAAACTTATAATTGCATTTAATTTAATGTGGGAATATTATTTTTAAATAGATTTACTTTGGAACAGTTTTGTGATTTACTGCTTTAATTCTATGTAATTTATTTCCTATTTCAGTCTAACGTTTTGGCCCTGGTAGTAGTTGCTGAACAGTCTGGAGATTTCACAAAAATTATTCAACTTTCAGAAAGGTACTAATGTTTCCAGTCTGTACTGAATGGGATGAAAATAGTTATAGTTTAGGATTTAAAGAATTACCCAGTTAGTTACATCCATTTAATTGGATTTTGGAATAAAGATCTTCATTTGCACTTTTGTCATTCTTTTTTTTAATTTCAAAATTAAATTGAACTATGCTGTTGTTCAGTAAATATCTGTGTTCAAAGAAAATGTTAAAAATATATTGAATCTTTGGAGTATTTCTTTGGAGTATTAGATTCACCCACATATTTTACAATGAAATTTTAACAATGTGATGTAATTTGATATAATGTGCAGGAGAACCTGCCAAGAATTCATTTAAGACTAGAAATTAGCACTCAGTTCCACTGATGGATAAATTGGTTTGTTACAGTCCTGAAGGTGAAGGACAAGCCTATAAGTAGAGGGAGTGCAACCTCTTTTTATACATTTATGCCAATTGCAATATATATTAAATATTTAATTGGGATATGGCAATATCTGTGTTAATGAGATTAGAAGGTGGGAAAATGAGAATTAATAACAGTGGCTTTTTTGAGTTGAATAAATGGATCTAAGCCTGTGCCTGTTAACAGGTTATCTTTTTCTAGATGTTATCAAATGCTTCTGCTTTCCAGCACACCTACTATACCTCAGTAGCTGAGTCAGCGTCCATTTGTATTTTATGGCTCAACAGGGTTTTCTGGTTGGTTAATCTGGCATTATACTTGTTCCTTCATCCATTATTCAATATATACTGTATGAAACTTGAGATTCCTTCACTCAGTAGTGTGCTGGAACTGGCTCGCAAGAGCCACTTGTTAAGTAGAGTAGAGTAGAGCTGAGCCACAATGCCTAATTGTGCCGACCATCTGTTTTTCAGCTGGCAGTGAGGTATTGTACAGCAGCAATAGAGCCAGCGGAATAAATTCTTAAACATTTATCAGTACACTCCTGCCTAGATTAGTATTCTTTCGCACAAAACAAATAAAGTTGCAGTTGTTTTTAAGTGGTACTCAGACAAGGAATGCATTGAAAACGTAAGAATTAGGAACAGAAAACTAATTCACTTTCTTTTATTTATTTTATTTGAAATAAGTATTGATTTATTTGACATTAATTTTAGTGATTCAGTGTAATGTGCACCTGACTTATGCCATGCCTTAACAAATGTTTATGTCTAGATATCCAGGATTTATTTTTCCATGCTTGGGCATCCATCCAGTTCAAAGTATTCCAGGTGGATGTGAACGCAGTGTTACTTTAAAGGTGACATGAAAAAAATTACAACTTTAAGTTCTATACATTATTAAGTCTATACTGTGTCTTAATTTATTAGATATTTTTCAGTCTTTATTAAATTGTAGTCAGGAGTTCTTTAATCTTACAAGTAAGGAATAAAGTTCAATGAGTAAAAACTTGCCTAAGATCACAGAATAAATCCATTTGAGAATGAGGCAGTTTATTAAAAATCATCAAGATTTCTAAAGTCAGTTTGGTTTAATTGAGTCACTGTAACAGTGAAATTGATGGCATAAAAATCTAATAAATAAATAAAGTAAAATCTAAATATTAGACAAAAAGAAATTCCCTTATATTATATGTATGTATGAATAAGGCATATATATCATAGCTACCATCACAAAAAACTAAACACATAAAATATCTACAGTAGGTACATACATAAAAACACACGATTAAAATGCCCGTTATTGATTTATTTAGATCAGTTTTATGAGAGACGTTTGCCTATTACAAGTCTTGTTGAGAACACTTATTAATGGAAGTTTAGAATTTCATGTAGATTAAAAGTACAGTTCTAAGACTCTTCTTGTAGAAGCAACGGGGCACCCTCTCATATCAATATTTTTATAAGGAGAACAAAAGAAGAAGCAATGTTTTCCATTAAAAGTATAATATATGAGTACTATGACATATGGCTTGGTATTGAGATGGGAATGTCCTATAGTGGCCAGAAAGAAGGCTTTGTGAACTTGGTTGATCAGAGGAAAATCCTCACATATTTTTGAAAGTGAAATTCAACCTTTATAAGGCAAGATACAGTTTATCTCCTTGGCTACCTTTTGGTTTTACACACAATACAGGTAGTCCTTACAACAGTTTATTTAATGACCATTCAAAGTTACAATGGCACTGAAAACAGTGACTTACGACCATTTTTCACACTTATGACTATCACAGCATCCCCATGGTTACGTGATTTACATTCAGATGCTTGACAACTGACTCACATTTATGACGGTTGCAGTGTCCTGGAGTCATGTGATCCCCTTTTGCGACCTTCTGACAAGCCACATCAATGGGGAAACCAGATTCACTTAACAACCATGTTACTAATTTAACAACTGCAATGATTCACTTAACAAATGTGGCCAGAAAAATCGTAAAATGGGGCAAAACTCAATTTACAAATTTCTTACTTGACAATATAAATTTTGGGCTCAATTGTGGTCGTAAGTTGAGGACTATCTACAAAGTTTTAATGTAGATTAAGATATTCAATATAGCAGTGCTTACAACCTTAGCATCTTTAAGTGTGGACTTCAACTCCCAGAATTCCACAATCAGCATGAGGTTAAGAAACACTGCAGTGTAGTAATGTATATGTTTTGTGCCTATATGCCATAACCCAGATAATGGAATTTTGCCGAAGAATATGCAGTAATAAAAAGCAAAATGTCTATGGTAAGTTAAACAGTGTTGTAAACATAAAGTATAAAAACCAGGGGTTTTTTTTGACAGAAAAGCTGGTGCATGTTTAACACCCATCCTGCCTTCCTTAAGAATATAGAAAACATACTGGGTATGTAAGTAGTCCACATGGTCTACTGCATAGCCCTGTATGAGACCACCCTTGAAGAGTATATGGAAGCTATAACTGGTGCAGAATGTGGTCCTGTGAGCAGTCTTGGGTGCCCCTATGGTTACTTATGTAACATCTCTGCGACGTGAGCTGCATTGTGTGCCTGTTTCCTTTCAGGTGCAATTCAAGGTGTTGGTTATTACCATTAAAGCCCTTGGTGACATGAGACCAGGTTACCCGAGGAACTGTCTTGTCCCAATTACATTGATTTGTTCCACTTGGTCAAGCAGGCAAGTATGTTGTGGATCCTGTCAAAGAATTTTGACTAGCAGGATCTAGTCAATAGCAGACAATCTGCTATTGTCCCCGCTCTTTGGAATAGCTTACCTCAAAGGTGAGGCAGCCCACCCCCCTTTCTGGTCTTCTGAAAGAGTGTCTTCTGGAAGACTTGGCTCTGCCAATTGGCATAGGAGTCTCAGAGTGATATGCAACTCTTGAGGATGGTTGAAGGCTTGAAGGCATCTATCTCTTTTAACATCTTCATTTTAACCTTCTAATTCTGCTTTTAATCTGTTTTTAACTATGTTTTTATACTACTGATGTTTTTATTTTAAACTGTCCAGAGTCACTTAAGTGAGATGGGCAGTGTAGAAATTTGAGAGATAGATAAATAAATAAATAAATAAATAAATAGAAATCAAGAGAAACATGAAACTAAATGAACAGAAGCAAATGTGTACATTTATTTTAATATTCATTTCATTTTGTTAAATCTTTTTGCAGGATCTAGAAGAAGCATTCCCACTCATTGAGCTATATAAGGATCATTTGCTGGCCATTGGGGAGGCAAGTAGAATCATCATCATAATACTTTATTAGGTCTTTTTCAGATATAATTTTTCCTCTGCCAAAAGCAGTGTGTATCACTTAGAATTAGGCCCTAAAGAGTTGAATGAATTTTGCATCTTGATAAACGTTTCTAGGACACAACACTGCAATCCAACCTGTGGTGTTTAGATTAAATTTTTGCAGTACACTTATCTGGAATTAAACCCTATTGAATAAAATGCGGATATAGTATATGTAAGTGGACTTACACAGAATTGTACAGATAGAATGGAAAGTAATATATCAATGTACATTATGTCATGACAAAAACATCCCTGTATGTATAATTGTGTGTGTTTTGGAAAATGTGCATTTGCTGAAATATTTATTATTTAATCAGTGAAAATACATACTCATATATTTTGAACTGTACAAATATAGAATCATTTAAAATAAATAAAATGTATGTTATATCCTCACTACATATATGTGTAGTTGTCATAAATGAGGATATGCGTATGTGTTGCATAGTATTTGCTATATATCTAGGAAATATTTTTGATGTAAATTTGTTTTTCCATGTTAGAAATTACCTTTTGGTCTCACAGAACAGTCATATCTTTTGTTGTAAGCTTCATAAACTATTTACATTCCTGAATAAATGATTAAAGATGGCAAGTGTTTCATAAATACAGATCCTTCTTTTTCACCAGGAGCACAACATTTCCTCTGGTTTTTCCCTACAATCACAAACCTTGTGTTTTGTTTTTTTAAATCTCTAGATTGGTTTAGATTTTACTCCCAGATTTGTCAGCAGTGATGAACAGAAGGAAGGGCAACGACAAGTTTTGATGAAACAAATTCAACTGGCGAAACAACTTGACTTACCTTTGTAGGTCACTTGTTGCAAAAATATAGCTATTTTTATAATTTAGAGAATTAACTTCTCTTTGTGATACTTAATTTCTTTAAATGAACTTATTTTTAAAAAAATCTGATTGCATTTTGCATAGATCCTGTGGTTATTTCATGTACTGTAATTATAATACAACATGCTGCATTATTGTATAATAGTTATATAGTGATTTGAAATGTTTTCAAATATTTTGTTATTGTTTTGTACCATCAAATTGTATAATCAACAGTTCAGCAAGACATCATATGCAGATTTTAGAAAATCTCAGGGTGGGAATGATGTTCCATAGGCATGTGCCGCAGAAAAGAAGGCGCATACATGTTACATGGCATTGTTTCATGGAAGGGACTCTAAGCACACCCTTTCTTGTTACTATGAATAGTAGTTACAGAATTCTAGATTTAACAATGAGTGAACTGACTATGGCAAGTCATTTGCATGTGAAATGGGTGGCTGTACAAACAAACAAGCATACAAATAAGATGCTATGATAGAGAACAGACTCATCCCCAAATGTTTATTTGTATAATATTGTGATATATTTATTACAACTTTACTATAATAATTACCCTATACTTAAATCCTAGTACAAATTAACGGTAAACTAAAATATCTGGCTGAAATCAAAAGCCTAGACATGCTGCAATTTCAGTCATATAGCTGGTTTATCTGACCTGAAAATCATGCTAGTTTTGCCAAAATCTCTTGCTGAGGTTTTGTTCTTTTTATTTATTCTAGAAATGTTCATTCCCGCTCAGCTGGAAGGCCAACAATTAACCTCTTAAAGGAACAAGGTATAATTTATTTTACTTACTGATTTAAGTTTGTTTAGCTTTCTTGTTAAAATATGTGTGCCCCTGATATGGGATCTCATCTCCATGGGGGTCTAAGTCAACTTTTCTTCTCTAGATGTTACATCAGAACTATGAGGAATATATTGCTAAGTAGTTGCTTACTTACAGTATCTGCTTTCATTGCAATTTTCAAAACCATGCTTTATTATTGGAAGAAGCATGGACATTTGAAAATCTGGAACAGTTACATTTTAGCAAGATTTGAGTATTGGCAGAATTTGTGGTGAAATCCAAGGCCCTATTTAGCAGAAGTAACAGGAAGATCCCCAAATCTTCTCACATTTGCCACATTTTGAAATAAATGTGTTTATTTAGAGGCTAGTTTACCACATTTTGATATAATTCATGTAGTATATTATGCAGACTAAAGTGCTAGAGGGGTATGGGTGAGCCCAAAGTTTAAAATTTCCTAACTACTCTAATGAATATAATACTTATTCTAAAATTAAACATCGCTTCAATACAGAACATATGATGTAAAGTATTTTTTGCAAATGGATCCCCCAAATTGAATACATGTTTATTTTTGCCTTTGTATGATTTTTGTAAGAAATTCCTAGACCAGTGATGGCGAACCTTTTAGAGACCGAGTGCCCAAACTGCAACTCAAAACCCACTTATGCATCGTCGGATGCCGGGTGGGTGTGGCCCATTGGGTGGGTGTGGCCCATTGGGTGGGCGTGGCTGCAGTGGTAACAGCAGACTGGGTGGGACTAAAAAAATTCAATCAATCAATTCCAACTTTGCAAGATCTTTTTTTTCCCCGCGAGAAGTTGAAATTGACTGATTGATTCAACCTTTTTTTTTTTTGCACACGGCGGAGGCCTAAAGCGAAAAGGTTTTATAAAACCCAGCTGAAGGCCTAGGACTGGGGCGACGGCGCGCATGCCCACAGAGAGGGTGCTGAGTGCCGCCTCTGGCACCCGTGCCATAGGTTCGCCACCACTGTCCTAGAGTGTTAGAAACAACTGCATTCTTGAATCACATAAACAATATGATAGGAACTTATGTCTCTGAATTTCTAGTTTTAATAGCATATCCTTCTGTAAGGAATTTAACAATAACTTGTGCCTTTGGTTTATTGACATGACAATCAAATTAAGCAACTGTGTAGAAAAATATAGTATGAATATACTGTATGAAAAGGGAATACAAGTAATCTCACTCTACAAGAGGGCATTAAGCTGTCTCTCTTGCATTATAATATGGGCTTTGAAACTTTCTTGGTATGTAATTGGCTGCTTATGTTAGGTTCTGACATAATTCTACTAGTAATGTGACTTCTTTCCCGGCTATTGGGATACTCAGGTGCTGAGAAAGTGTTGCTCCATGCATTTGATGGCAAACCATCTGTAGCAATGGAAGGAGTGAAGGCTGGGTATTTTTTCTCTATCCCTCCTTCAATTACAAGGAGTGAACAGGTAAGGATCAAGGAGCAAAGCCTTGAGCAAAAGTTCTTTATTTATGGCATTGTGTAATACAAACCTAAATACATGTAAACATTTATAAACACACTCCAGGACAGGTTAAAAAAATGTCTAAATCAATCTTAATTCCTGGCAACTACCTAAACAAGTTCTTAGTTTTCTTGGCAACAATTTTGGAAGTAACTTGCCATTTCTTTCTTCCTAGGGCTGAGAGAGAATGAGTGGGCTAAAATTATCCAGCTAGCCCCAGGTGGATTAGAACTCATAGTCTGGTCGCTGGCCTGATGTGTATAACATTTATAGTACATCAAAATAATTGTCAGTTATTAATCAGCTGAAGGATTCATTGCTTAAACAAAAGAAGCAAGGTTTCTCAATGGATCTTGGACTTTTTCAATTTTTAAAAATTTGAATATACTGAAATAGGGAATAAAAATTGTTTAGGAGTGTATAAGTATATAAAGACAATGTATTCAACATCTGGTAAAGTGCATATTTCAGTTGTTGATGTGGAAATTGTATAAATTAATTAACAGTCTTTTGTTCGAATGTTTGCCTTTTCTGCTTAGAAGCTACAGATGTTAATTCCTTTCTATGATTTCCTTTAAGAAGCAGAAACTTGTGAAACAGCTGCCTCTGGAAAGCATTTGCTTGGAAACTGATTCACCTGCCCTAGGTCCTGAGAAACAGGTCAGGACCCATCAATGATTCTATCTTGTCAAGTTCAGCAATAACACCGTGTAACAGTAGAATTATATTATATCAGTTGAAGTCTGTTAAAATGATAAGACTCTTAAGTGTAAAAGAAAGGGGGAGGTTATCTCAAAGAAATAAACTGCAGGTGTTGTTTGCCCAAAACTGGTAGACTGAGTGCTTGAGTATGTCACCTAGGAAATACGGGAATTGTTTCTAGGCTGTGATATTGTCTTTGCACATCTCAAACACTGACGCTGTACCTGTGCTACTCTGTTACTAGTGTTTGGACTTGGGATATATCCAGGTAGTTTTGTACTTCTTTGCATGTCTCAACATCGTGTTAAGTGGTGCACAGGTTGTACTTGACACATTTGCTCAGAAGCAGCAGACTGCTGCAATTTAGTTTTTCCACTCCATGTCTCCTAAGGATTTTGTCTCCTGTGAGACTAGGCTGAAGCTGCCCTACTTAAAGATGAAACAGGCAGGTAAGCAAGGTGGACAAAAGCCCAGGAGTCTTGTCTAAAAGATCCCTTAGGGAAGGTAGATAAGAAGGAACTAAGTCATTAAGGAAACAAAAGAAATATGTCGCCTGAACCAGACAAAAGAAATTGAACCTGAGCACGTGGGGAAGCCCTCAAATTTCATCAATAGCAATAACCAGACTTATAAATTAAGAAGGCAAGAGTAGGTGTTAGTTTTTCAATCAACAAAGCAAAACAAGCAAGGACTTTGGGAGATAAAAGGGGTCCTGGAGACTTCCCACTCTTTGAGTCATCTTTGGATCCAGACTTGGCAGCTTCTGTCCCAAGAACCAGTTGTGCCACAGTGTTCAGTTGAAAGTGGCTTGAGCGTACAGTAGCTGTTTTCTAAGCCTTTGAGTGTATGACAAAATGACCATAAGTCATAACTGGGAGCACATGTAACACCCATTATTACTGCCTGTTGCCACCTTGGCACTGAAATTGTTCAAAATGGTGAGTTTGCCACTGGCAGGGGTGGTTCGGATAATCTGGTTCAGATTCTCGTAGAAAGCCTCGTCTTCACCTGGATTTGTGCAAGTTGGTAGCTAGGTGCTGGCAATGATGATATATAGGGACTTGCTGAGACAAAAGCAGAACTTCATAATCTGTTAATTTATTCCAATTGGCCAGATGTAGGCCAGGCCATGTTTAGGGGACCTTTTTTAATCTCCTCCCTCAGGTAAGGGTGGGTAGCACTATTCTAGCAGAGCTTCCCAGTCACCTTGGATGCTACTGGACATCTCTGCTGTCTTGGCACAGAAACAAATGACCACTGGTCCAAGGGTCATTCATGTGCAGATTTAGGACTACAATTGTCAGTCATCATTTCCACCTGTTCCTTCATCACTCCTGCATTACTCAATGAATTAAGTTTGGACTAAGAAGATTTGCAGATGAGTTGTAGATGAAAAAGAATTGCTCCACAGGAACCTGTTACATAATTTTATAAATGTTTATAAACTTTCTTTGTAATTTTCTTTACCATTTTTTAATGAATTTTATAATCTTATCATTGCATTTCAGGTGAGAAATGAGCCAAAGAATATCTTCATTGCTGCAGAATACATTGCTAAAATAAAAGGAATTTCAGTGGAAGATGTTTTACATGTAACGACACAGAATTCACTGAAGGTCTTTCCTAAACTGAAAAACTTCCTCAGGACCTAGGTGATGTTCTATAGCATCTGACATTAATTCAGATTATTTAAATATATGTAATGACATAAAATGTATAATATTAAAATATCTAATAGAAGAGCATATGTGTAGCTGAGAGCTGAACTGTGGGGTCCTTGGTGCTCTCTGAGCTTGGTTGTTTGCAGATGTTTTATCACCCAATCCGTTAACATCATTAGTACAAGTGAGTGTGGCTTGCTCCCTGTTTAT